CTTATTCTGAAATGTTATGCAGTAAATCAGTACTTTCCAAAGTGATTCCAAACATTTCTGAAGTGATTCAGTTAACTATAAAGTAATTCCAAGCTTTTCTTAAGTTGTTCAGTACTTTCAGCAGTGATTCAAAACAATTATAAAGTGATGTAGGACTTTTCAAAGTGATTGAAAACATTTATGAAGTGATTCAGTACTTTCCAAACTGATCTCAAACTTTCATGAAGTAATTCAGTACTTTCTAAGCTGGTTTAGTACTTTTCAAAGTGATTCCGTAGTTTGCAAACTTATTCAGATATTGTCTGAAGTGATTCAGTACGTTCCAAAGTGATTCAAAACTTTTCTAAAGTGATCCAGCAAATTTTGGAGTAATTGCAAACTTTTCCTTAGTTGCTCAGTAATTTCAGCAGTGATTCAAAACAAAACGTGATGTATGACTTTTCAAAGTGTTTGAACTCATTTCTGAAGTGAATCAGTCCTTTGAGAAATGATCCCAATCTTTCCTGAAGTGATTCAGTACTTTCTGAAACGATTCATTATTTTCCAAAGTGATTCCGAATTTTATTGAAATGATTTAGTAATTTTCGTACTAATTCTGAAATGTTATGCAGTAGCTCAGTACTTTCCAAAGTGATTGCAAACTTTTCTGAAGTGATTCAGTAAACTATGAAGTAATTCCCAGGTTTTCTTAAGTTGTTCAGTACTTTCAGCAGTGATTCAAATCGATTCTAAAGCGATGTAGGACTTTTCATAGTGATTGAAAACATTTTTGAAGTGATTCAGTACTTTCCAAAGTGACCTCATACTTTCATGAAGTAATTAAGTACTTTCTGAAATGATTAAGTACTTTCCATAGTGATTCCGAACATTTAGAAAGTGATTCCGTTAATTGTTAAGTGATTCTAAAATTTTACGAACTAATTCAGTATTTTGCGAACTTACTCTAAAATTGTTTGAAGTGATTCAGTACAAACTTTTCTGAAGTGATCAAGTAAATTTTGAAGTAATTTCAAATTTTCCTAGTTGTTCAGTACTTTCAGAAGTGATTTAAAACAAAAAGTGATGAATGACTTTTCAAAGTGATTAAACTCATTTCTGAAGTGATTCAGTACTTTCTTAAGTTATTCTAAACTTTTACATACTTATTCAGTATTTTTCAAACCTATTCCGAAATTGTTTGAAGTGATTTGAAGTAATTTCAAACTTTTCCTAAGTTGTTCAGTACTTTCAGCAGGGATTCAAAACAAAAAGTGATGTAGGATTTTCCAAAGTGATTGAACTGATTTCTGAAGTGAATCAGTACTTTTAGAAATGATCCCAATTTTTCCTGAAGTGATTCAGTATTTTCTTAATCGATTCAGTATTTTCCAAAGTGATTCCAAATTATTATGAACTGATTCAGTAATTTGCGTACGTATTTTGAAATGTTATACAGTAGCTCAGTACTTTCAAAAGTGATTCAAAACTTTTCTGAAGTGATCCAGTGAATATTCAAGTAATTTAAAGCTTCCTATAAGTTGTTCAGTACTTTCCGAAGTGATCTAAAACTTAAAGTGATGAATGACTTATCAAAGTGATTGAACTCATTTCAGAAGTGATTCAGTGCTTTCCAAAGTGATCCCAAACTTTCCTGAAGTGATTCAGTGCTTTCCTGAAGTGATTCAGTACTTTCCGAAGTGATTCCAATCTATATTGAAATGATTCAGTAATTGCTTAAGTGATTCCAAACTATGATGAACTGATTCAGCAGTTTGTGTACTTATTCTGAAATGTTATGCAGTAGCTCAGTACTTTCCAAAGTGATTGCAAACTTTTCTGAAATGATTCAGTTGACTATAAAGTAATTCCAAGCTTTTCTCAAGTTGTTCAGTACTTTCATCAGTGATTCAAAACAATTCTTAAGTGATAAAGGACTTTTCAAAGTGATTGAAAACATTTCTGAAGTGATTTAGTACTTTCCAAACTGATCCCAATCTTTCATGAAGTAATTCAGTACTTTCTGAACTGGTTTAGTACTTTCCAAAGTGATTCCGAACTTTTCGGAAGTGATTCAATAATGTCTTAAGTGATTCTAAACTTTTACGAACTAATTCACTATTTTGCGAACTGATTTCGAAATTGTTTGAAGTGATTCAGTACTTTCTAAAATGAAGTGATCCAGTACATTTTAGAGTAATTTCAAACTTTCCCTAAGTTGCTTAGTACTTTCAGAAGTGACTCAAAACAAAACGTGATGTATGACTTTAGTGGTTGAACTTATTTCTGAAGTGATTCAGTAGTTTTCGAAGTTACCCCAAACTTTCCGGAAGTGACTCAACACTTTCTTAAACAATTCAGTCCTTTTCTAACTGATTCTGAAATTTTATGAAACAATTCAGTCCTTTTCTAACTGAATCCGAACTTTCCTGAAGTAATTCAGTACTCTCATAGGGCCTTATTACGGGTGTCACTACACGGTGATAAGGAAGTGATATTCGGAATAAGAGCCGTGATTGCCGTACAAATCAAATGGGAATCACTTCACCGTGACGACAAGTGACAAGTTTTCACCGTGAAGTGACATCCGTAATTGGCCCCATATTCTAACTTCGGTAAACATTTGAAGCCACTACCTCGAAACAATACCATCACGGTAACTCTGGTTGGCTCTCGGCTCATATTCCAACTTGACTGAACATTCGAAGTCGCTATCGTAGTGAGCCTTAATTGATTCTACTCGAGCAGTGTTGCCATCTAGTGACAGAATTTCAAGTCATTCTTGGCAACCCTTGGCACATACTCAAACATTGCTGAACATTCAAAGTTATTATCTTGAAGCGAAACGGAGATGTTGGGCCGTATTATGGTGATAAGAAAGTGATACTCAGAATAAGAGCCGTGATTGCCATACAAATCAAATGGAAATCACTTCACCGTGACGACAAGTGACAAGTTTTCACCGTGAAGTGACATCCGTCATAAGCCCAGTTGTGCTCTATTTGATTTTACTCAAGCGGTGTTCCCATATTAACCAATAATTCCGCGCCGTTCTGAGGTTGGGATCTCAAGTAACATTGCAAGCTATGTAGAGGTTTTATAGCATTCTATAAGTCTACAGAACACTCATAAAACCAAAATTGTTAGTTATTTGGGATGTGTTGTGCCTCAAGGTTGAAACTGAATGCAGTAGATAACAATGTTTTGTTTCTGAAATACATCAAGCTTTTTTAGAAAACATCTATAGATCTGTCATCAGTATGAATCGAGATATGGAGGCCCGGGGGATTCACCACAAAATGCGGAACATCCGTAAAAGCAGTCAATTCATAAAACTAGGTTCTGGATTTCTAAGAAGCTTCTCTTTCCGGCATTAAAAGTAAGATGATCAAGGCATTCCAAATGGTGATGGAGCACAGGTAACTTTGTAGTCCACACGCAGACCAGCGTTGCGGAGTGAGAGAATTCTAAACTAACCAGCGCACAAATTAGAAAACATTGAGAACCTGAACAACTTTCCCAACGACGGAAGCTTTCTAAAAAAAAAATGAAAAAATTGAGTTGCACATTAGCGCCGCATAGTGAGAAAATTATGTACTACTGTTCTGTAACCAATCCGCTTTAACCTACTGTGCAATTTTGCCGCCGAAGACAGCAACCTTTTATATGGCCAGGATGATGTGATATTCCATGTGGCCGTGTTAACTAGAAATACTCAGAGGGAGAGATGGGCGGAGAGAATGTTTTGAGCCAAATGAACTATCAAAATCTGAGCCAATGGAACATTCAAATTAGAATTTTTCCGATGATTTCTTATTCTTACTAGAATAAATTTGAGAGAATTGCAATCGAACAGAAATTCAAGCACCTTTATGTTTTGTGTGCTTCTCAAATTCAACTAGTTTTTGGAACCAAAAACAATATTCTAACTCTATTGATTAATTGATCTTCGTTGGTTAATGAATGGCACCAAGAAATGTGCAAAATATTGCGATGCAATCAATTATTATTTTGCACGTAAATCGAATCAAAAATAAAAGTCATTGGAAATGCAAGGGTTACAAGATAATTTAGGAACAAATCCCTGCTGCCGAATTGTATTTTGTTTTCTCCGCCTATCTCTCCCTCTGAGTATTTCTAGTCTTAACCCGCATTTTTTTTTTCTAGTCTTAACCCGCATTTTTCATCATCAAATGAAAAGGAAATTTTCTGAAAATCTATGTGTAACTAGCGAACGTACTCTAAAGAACAGGATTCACTCAATTTATCGCGGAAATTGTGTGCAGTTTTGGTTAAATTTTACTTCAAGCTTAGGGTGGTCGTCTTACCCCGTCGTCCCCTACGATGTTTCGAGAAGATCTATGAAGTTCATTGAAATCCTTAAATGTTTCCTTTAGAAATTCTCCGAGCTTGTACGAAGTTTTCTGAAGTCAAATGATGTTCTCTTAACTTCTAAGAATGGCCCTTGATTTTTAACATAATCCCTGAACTTCTAAGAATATTGAACACCTTCCCCGGCCTGAAAATATTCTCTTCAAAGAATAGGAAATCCTATAAGAGCTTTTTCCCCCAAATTCTGACAGGAATTTCCAGCGAATGACCCCGGGAACACCATGAGCGTTTATCTCGAAATTGCTCTCGAAAAAGTTTCACCAGTATGTAGTTATGAAAACTCTACTCCTGCATCCAACCCTTGACACCTGGCCAATTCCTCCTGTGGTGTATTGTTTCGCATAAAAATCGGCAGCCGCTGAATTTGGCAGCCCATCGAAGATAAAATCGTATTCAATTTTTGCTCGTTTCCAGCCCCGAGGCCACGTCAATTCGAATAAACAATTTATCAGATTTCTCCGATCCCACTATTGCTGCGTTGTTTGATTTCCCACAAGGCAAAATATAATATTTTGAAAACGAACCAAGTCACCACCCCACCCGACGACGACGACGAAGCACATTTAAAGCCAAATTAAAGGCACTGTTCACCCGCAGGCAGGAGACAACATGATCTCAGTCTCTCAACGCACTAACGTTTGCAATGACTTCCGGCTTCGATTCATCACATCCAGCACAAACTTCGTATCGTTGTCTTCGTCTTCCGTGTTGTTGTAGTACGCGCTCCGACCACTACCCTCACCACCGTCGGACGATTGCTGCATCCCCTGCATCGTCAACAGTTTGGATAACTCGTCATCGGTAGTTCCGTTGTTGTTGCTGCTCCAAGCTCGTGCACCACCCGAGTCCCACCCATCGCCGAGAATGTCCTCGTCCGGTTCGTCTTCATCTGTGCTGCTGGTGACGGTGGTTGTTGATGGTTGCATCTGCCTCTGAACCACCATTGCTCCCTGGAGTAATCCCTGCTGCTGAAGCAAGTGATCCCGTTCCTCGTCGGCGCAGTCTCCACCGCGCCGCCCGTCTGCCTCGCCAGGACGCTCAAAACAACGACAGCACAGCACGCACGGATACACCAGGAAGAAGATGAGGTTTATCAGAAATCTTCGATAACTGCAATTGGAAAGAGGTGGTTGTATACGTAGGTGAATGCATCATAGTAAAACACAAATATGTAAATTGCAAATGTAGGTATGATGATGGATATAGGTTAGGGTGCCCATGATTTTTTTTTTAAATCCGACCATATAGAAAATGTTTATTGCTTCGTAAAGTCGTCAAAGTTTGTTTTTTTTTTCATCTGGAAAATCTCCCAAGGTTTATTGAGTTTTCCAAAATTTCATGTTTTCATGTCGGAGACTTTTTAGATGAAAACAGTTCAAATTTTGACGATTTGAACGGCCCTAAATTTGAGTTTAGTTAACTCATTAAGCACATACAGTGCAGGAACTCAACGGTGAGTAAATTTGCCTCATGTTTTTCCAGGTGTGTCCAGGAAAAACTTCCCGAATATGAGAAAAGTGAAGATTGGATTCACTCAGTCGCACCTGCACTTTTGAAGATTATGAGTGAACTAAACTCAAATTTGGGTCATTCTCATTTGCCGTGCGATCGGTTTAAAAAAATCTATGGTGACTTTTTCCCCATACATTTCATTCGCACCCTAATATATACCGGTAGACAGGGCAGGTAGGGCAGCATGGTGGATGGTTGTTTGCTTCCGTTAGCTTCGGTTGACAATGTTTAACAAAGTAGAAAATTTCCTAATTGTTTACGGAAACGAAAGTCTTGCGCGCTCCTGATAAAACTGTATCTTGTGAGCGTTGGCAAAAGCAGTTGAAGTGGAAATGTTTACTAGCTATACGTTAATAAATAATGCTTTTACATATAAGTCATTTGAATGCACTGCAATGCCAATTCGAACAGAAAATAATTTTTAACAGCGACTTGCTGATGGAATTCATTTCTCGATGAACATTTCAAATGGTTCTATCTGCTTTGATCGATTCTCTTCATCGACTTTCTCTTTTGATAACCACTGCTATGCAAACAGATTTCGCGCTAATTTTACAACATAGTTTGATTTAGCTAATTCTTATCTAGCATCCAAAACGTCAAATACAATAGGGAAAGGTTTTGCAGCTGAGTTATTAACGCAAGAGAAAGTCGATGAAGAGAATCGATCAATGCAGATAGGACCTTTTGAAATGTTTATCTAGATTTGATAAAAGCTAAAGCCGATATAAGAGACGTGCGGAGAGAATAAAAGTAAATCTGGTTGCACGGCCAACTAATTTGTTTTTCTGCAAGATTTGGCAACCCGCAATTTTGTGTTTACTCAGACCCCCTTCACTCTTTGGAATTTATAGAGACAGATAACAGCGCCAATAGGTCTTTGGCGATACAACGTTGAACTGCAGCGTTGAAAGAAAACACGCACACCATCATCTATACATGTACGAACCCACACCACTGAGCGGAGGGTACAGCGCAAATCAAAACACGAAGTGGTGTCACTACTCATCGTCATCACTCAGCTTCGGCAGCTTTAGTTTACGATTTAATTCGCCGTCATTGAAAAATACCTTCTTTATAAAATAGAAAAGTAATCATTATTCCAACGTAATTTTTGAATAGCCAATAGCGTGCAGCGTTGGCCAAGGAAGACGGCATATTTTATTACGTTTGTTTAGCAATGATTTCGATACGTTGCGTTTTTTCCATGTATACTTCTATGCAACTTCTATTATGTTGAGCAACAGCTTCATAAATCATCAATTCTCGATTACTTTTTCGAAGAGACGTATCTGCATTTATTATTGTTTTCTCAAGGTTTTCTGATGCGTATAACGTGGTAATGATTGAAAATGGATGCAATCATAACGAAGTGAGAATCTTGCTATCGCAATATAATGATGATGACATCGATCATCCTCTTCTCTCGGCTGATCATCAACGTCCACGCTGGCATATGTCATAAAGGGTGATACGGTCAAAATTTGGTCAAGGGAAAACGCGTGTAAATCGGTGAAATCGTTTATTTAAAAAATCAAATTAAATTTCTTTTTCAAGTTCAATTAGAATAAAATTCAGAAAAAATATTCAGTTAGGCTTCCATTTTTCCAAATCCGAATTGCCGGGCCTTACGCTTGACCCCTGCCATCAGATTTTGTACAGCCACCTTGTCCACCTTCTTCGCCGCAGAAAGCCAGTTTGCCTTGAACTGCTGCTCGCCCTTAGCAGTTTTTTTGGTCTTCTTTAGGTTCCGCTTGACAATAGCCCAGTATTTCTCAATTGGGCGGAGCTCTGGCGTGTTGGGAGGGTTCTTGTCCTTGGGAACCACCTGCACGTTGTTGGCGGCGTACCACTCCATGGCCTTTTTACCGTAATGGCAAGATGCCAAATCCGGCCAAAACAGTACGGAACAACCGTGTTTCTTCAGGAAAGGCAGCAGACGTTTATTCAAACACTCTTTCACGTAAATTTCTTGGTTGACAGTCCCGGAAGCTATGAAAATGCTGCTTTTCAAGCCACAGGTACAGATGGCTTGCCAAACCAGATATTTCTTTGCGAACTTTGACAGTTTCATGTGCTTGAAAACATCTGCTACCTTTCCCCTTCCTTTTGCCGTATAAAACTCCTGTCCCGGAAGCTGCTTGTAGTCGGCTTTGACGTAGGTTTCGTCGTCCATTACCACGCAGTCAAACTTCGTCAGCATCGTCGTGTACAGCCTCCGGGATCGCGCTTTGGCCGTCGTATTTTGTTTATCATCGCGATTTGGAGTCACTACCTTCTTGTAAGTCGATAGTCCGGCTCGTTTTTTTGGCTCGATGCACGGTTGTAGACGATACACCCAGCTTATTTGCGGCATCTCGGAGAGAGAGGTTAGGGTTTCGCTTGAAACTACCGGCAACTCTCTTTGTCGTCTCAGCGGCTTCCGGTTTTCGATTTCCCCCCAATCCAGACTTCCTGGCTGTCGACAAACGTTCCCCAAACACTTTAATTACATTTGTAACGGTTGATTTGGCAACTTTTAGCGATTTTGCCAACTTTGCGTGCGAGTAGCTCGGATTTTCGCGATGCGCGAGCAAAATTTTGATACGCTGCTCTTCTTGCTTGGACGGCATTTTGACAACTGAAGAGTGAATTCCAAAATCAAAATAGGAGCAACATTCTACACACACACACCTTCAAAATGAGGGGTGTTCAGGTATTTTAAATGCAAAATTGAAAGAAATACGTCAAGTTGATATTGACCAAATTTTGACCGTATCACCCTTTATCTACGATGCAGGAAATATTGAGTTTTGCTGTGGCTAGCTGCGCGTACGCTGAGTAGATAGAAAGAAGATTTATCACGATTTTGAAGATTTCTTGCAAAAAGATGATGCGCAATGCAAGTAGATGCGACAAATGAAAGAAGATTTTTCAAAGATTTATTCGCTAGTGTGAGATTTTTTGAGCATCTAGAATTGAGATTTAGATGTGTCGCCCCCCTCGGATAAAACCACACTCCACAAAGCGGACTTCATCCCAGATTCCAGGAAACCAGTATGTGATTGCGAAAGACAAGTTCGATGTATCAGAGTCCCTCAGGAAACAGCAATTGTCGAAGTTCCCAAGGAATTCATGATTTGGCAGGCGATTAGTTCGTGCGGAAAACAAAATAAGCCTTTCGTAACAACTTCATCCGTAAATGGTCAAGTCTACATGAATAAGTGCATGAAGAAACAATTGCTTCCATTTCTCAAATAACACAACGTTCCCACAATTTTCGGCCGGATCTAGTCTCTGGTAACTACTCTAAGGACGTTATGGAGTGGTACAAGACGAATGGGGCAAATTTCGTGCCGAAGGATCTCAATCCCCAAAACACACCGGAGTTGCGGCCGATCAAAAAATACTGGGCTATAATTAAGCACGAACTCCGTAAGCCTCCTGAAGTTGTCACTTCGGAGCAGGAGATGTTGAAATCATGGTTGAAAACAGAAAAAATGTCGATTCAACCGTTGTACAAAACCTTATGGGTGAAGAAATATATTGAAATAAAGAAACGTAAACCAAGCTTATATATACTATTACATTCCCTGAAAATTTCATGACAATCGGTCGAGAGACTTATATTTGGCGAATACTTCTAAGTGATGCAATTTAACTGTGGACACCCTTTATTGGAACAAAGTTGTCTAAACCCCAACTTGCAATATCCTGCTCGAGATGAAACCAGTTTCATTCGATTGCTGAGATTTTTTCCTGTGAGGGAAGATCCTGAAATGACGCTGCATTTTAACCAATACATCATATCAAGAAGACTGGCAACTTTGCCAGAATCCAAGCGACAGATTCAGTAGCGCTGCACTTGAGCAAAGGTGGAAGCAACGCATAGAAAAATTAGGAAAATACACAAACCTTTCTTCTGAGCATGTAATCTTTGCTATCAAATTCGCTCGAAGCATTTACCTTTGAGTAATAGATGACACGATTGTACTTGTCTCATAGCGGTCGTACGAGAAAATGGAAAAGTTGCCAGTCTTCTGGACTTGTTGTCTTCGATTTTAATGTAATCAATCAAAGTACTGCTTCATTAAACGTAAACAAACGTTTAACGTTTGTTTACGTTTCATGAAACATCAACTTTGGTCCCCCTCCCCCTTGTAGCGTATTTTTCTACATTGCTGATCATCCTAAAATGCTACGTCTTTTCTTGTTCTGCCCTGAAAAGGACTACTTTGATCAAGTTTCTCCAGCTAAAAGTGGAGCTGTTGAATTTGGAGACATTTTTTTTTCGTTTTTGTCCCCAGTGTAGATTAAGGAGCAACCGGTTTTGTAAGCAATGACTTCAATCTCAGATTTCTCGCGACTAAAAGCTTACCCTTGTAAACTAGCAACACAAACATGAATTTGTTAGAGAGAGCTTTTATTTGCGAGAAATTGTGGATTTAAGACACTGTTTACAAAAGTAGTTTCACTCTAAATCAATACGGAAATTTTTGTTTTTCAAACGATATTTTAGCCAAAGGGGGGGATACCTTGGCTGAATATATCAAAATATTGATTGGTATTTTCATTTTCTTGATTTAGACTTAACAACAAAAGCATCCATAGAACAAATACATTCAGTACAAAAAGCTCTATCTTTTACATGTCTTAGTTTTTGAAAACACTTAAATATTTTCGTTGATATTTAAAAATCGTTGACGATATTTTCAAATGTATCAAAGCTGTCTTGCCCCTTAATTATAGCTTGTTTAATGATGATAAAGACCAAAACGCCAAAAAATCTTGAAAATCATCAAAAAAGCCTTAGGCTCCGAACCATTTGGCGGATTTTTTTTTTTATTTTTTGGTTAAAATTTGACAGATGGAAAGTTATCGATTTTTCGTTTTTCGCTTTTCGAACATCTTAATTTATTTTCGAATTGTCAAATTTAAGTGAAAAATTTCCAAATGGAACACAGCCTAAGGCTGTGAACCATTTGCCGAGTTAAATTTAACTCGTGGTTAAAAGTGACATTTCGAAAGTTATTCTGTATGTTCGAAAATCCCTGTGCTGTCGATCGACCGGATTTCGAGAAGAACTCAGCCACGGTTGTCAAAATTTAACTTCTTGTCTGTCAGAAATAATCACGCTCGGATAGCAGGGTTAATCGATAACTTTCCAGCTGTCAAATTTTAACCAAAAGTTAAAACAATCCACCGAATGGTTCAGAGCCTTAGGCTCTGAACCATTTGGTGGATTATTTTAACTTTTGGTTAAAATTTGACAGATGAAAAGTTATCGATTAACCCTGCTATCCGAGCGTGGTTACTTCTGACAGACAAGAAGTTAAATTTTGACGACCGTGGCTCGAAAACCGGTCGATCGACAGCACGGGGATTTTCGAACATAAGAAATAACTTTCGAAATGTCATTTTTAACCACGAGTTAAATTTAACTCGGCATCTGTCATCTGTCAAATTTTAACCAAAAGTTAAAATAATCCACCAAATGGTTCAGAGCCTTAGAAGAACTCAGCCACAGTTGTCAAAATTTAACTTCTTGTCTGTTAGAAGTAACCACGCTCGGATAGCAGGGTTAATTGATAACTTTTCATCTGTAAAATTTTAACCAAAAGCTAAAATCGACAGTGAGCATGCATAAGGGCCAATACGCGATGATCGATTCTCTTCATCGATTTTCTCTTTTGTTAATAACTCGCTAGATTTAACGTTTCTCGGTACGTTTGCTATTGCTTTTGATAGCTAATACAACTTGTTACAACTCTGCATTGAACAAATTCTAGAAAATTGTTTCGCTTAGCTGTAGCAATGCAAAGAGAAATTCGATGAAGAGAATCGATCATCGCGTATACGCCCTTATGAATGCTCACTGTCGAAATAATCCACCAAAAATGGTTCAGAGCCTTAAGGGTTGATGCATATATTATGTCACGCTCTAAGGTTTTGTGACAAGCAATGCATTAGGTATAGGAAAAACGTCACGATATGGGGGGAGGGGGTAATTTTTTGCTCGATTTAGCGTGACATAATTAATGCATGGGCCCTAATACGTTAACAAATTTCTTATTAAAGCCTGATGCCCGAAATATGTAATCGCAATCACCAGAGACATAACAGTGCAATTTAAAGGCATTCAATCATATCGAATGCTGCATTAATGATGAAAATGATCCAATTAGAACCAACTTCAAACGAAAGCATACCTGGAAGCATCCTTGTACCGCACCGTCGGTTGCAAAAAGTCATATCTCCACCTCCCGATCTTGGCGCAGCAGCAACCCAGAACAGCTTTGATGCATCCTGCGGAACAGATTCATGTTAAAAAATAAAATTTAAAGTTCGCTAATAACACTTCTCTTACCCAGGAAAACCAGCACCACCACTACCAGCATCAACAGCACGCAAATCCAGTGCCAAAAGCCACTCCTCCGATGATGATGGTGATGATCCCCGGTAGTAGCAGTTCCTACCGCTCCTCCAAAGGTAATAACCATCTGACAAGAGCCATCAGTGACGGCACTAGTGGCCACTGCACCAGGTGTCGATTGCGATTCCGCCGTCATCGGTGAGACCATCCCTAGCAGACAAGTGCATCGGCATGCGAAATCCGAGCAGACACAACGTGCTCCGGGTTTAATTAAAAATTTCCGCTCCGCTACAACGACAATCCGGGAGTTGGGTTTTTGTTGTTGTTGCTCCTGCTGCTCGTGGTTGTCGTCGTCGTCGTCTTGGTCGTCGTTGCTGCTGCTATAGCGACGAGAACGGGTTGGATTTTTGAATGGCTGACTGCGGACCAACGCTACCGTGGCTGTAAGCGTAAATTTAAATAAGAAACTTCAAACGCTATTTGCAGAATAATTTCGGAGCCTGCTTGGCTTTAAAATTACGGTTAAATACTATTAAGGCTCTGAACCATTTGGTGGATTATTTTAACTTTTGGTTAAAATTTGACAGATGAAAAGTTATCGATTAACCCTGCTATCCGAGCATGGTTATTTCTGACAGACAAGAAGTTAAATTTTGACAACTTTGGCTGAGTTCATCTCGAAAACCGGTCGATCGTCAGCACAGGGATTTTCGAACATAGAAAATAACTTTCGAAATGTCACTTTTAACCACGAGTTAAATTTAACTCGGCAAATGGTTCACAGCCTAAGGCTGTGGTCCATTTGGTGAATTTTCACTTAAATTTGACACTTCGAAACTAAATTATAATGTTCGAAAATCCCTCTGTTGTTGATCGGCCAATTTTCGAGAAGGTGTGTGTCAAAATTGATTCCTTGTCTGTCAGATATAAGTCTGCTGGAATAGCAGGTTAATTTGGAAATTTTCCATCTGTCAAGTTTAAGTGAAAATTCGCCAAATGGAACACAGCCTAAATACCCATAGGGAGATTTCCCACAAGGAAGTTTTGTTCGAGCCAGTTGCCAAAAAATGTCGTCTAGAAGGGAGGTTATTTTGTATTGACTTTTGCGTTAGTTTGTGAATCGCTTATATATTTTGAGAGCAGTTCTTATGTTTTAACAAGATCCAAAATGGCCGATAAATGATATCCAATTATGCAAAGTTTTATTTAAATTGGAGAAGTTCGAGTATAAATATAACGACTGTAGGTTCACTCTCTCCTAATGGGTGGTTGTGAAATGGTAAAAATGATAAAAAAAAAACAAAAAACTAATTTTAATTAAATTCAGCTGATGCCTAATTAATTCAGATTCGATACTTGCCCAAATTAACGCGATTCCACGCAAATGCTTAATAGCAACTTTTTGGTGAACCATTTCACAGAATAGGGCTGCTAAAAAGTTTCCTCGAAAAATGTGCAAAAATGTATTATGCTTTCCGAGAAGTTGAAATGGAAGCGTAAAAAGCTGGAAATTTCATAACAAATATAAAACCAAGGTTCAAATACAAATTTAAACACGCACAAAAAAATATGTGCCATTCTTATGCGAATGCAGACTGCCGATAAAAGCATATCAATTCCATTTGGATTTTTATCAGAAATGAATTTTACACTGTATACCAAAAGCTACATGCTTTGTTCAGAAAATATCGTGAATAATACCAAAACTAGATTGTCCCATTCATTAGAATAGATAAATTTTCTACAGCGTTTTTCTCGGCTTGCTGTTTTTTTCCAGATGGGACTGACATGTTTTTATCGACAGGGCTGTAGTAGTCATGAAATTTCGCTCACTGAACGTACTTGGAGTCTGCACCCAAAACTGAGCTGTTAAATTTCATCCGATTTTCAGAGAAAATCAAAGTAGTTTGGATTCAACCGTCAAAATTCAAATTGGAACAACCCATTACACACACACAAGCACCTACCTACCAGTGCATGGAAACTCCAAATTATGACCGGCAACCGCTGTCGCATTAATCCGAAACTGGAACCGCACGGTCCGCAGCCGGTCCGGCCAAAGCCGAACGTCCATCGATTTTTGGGCCGCAATAGATTTTTCCGCCGCGATCGAACTCAGGTACGACAAACAATCGGTGTCAATATTGACCCGCACTAATTCGCTCCGGCGGTGCTGCTGCTGCTGCTGCTGCTGCTGCTGGTGACCCAAATTGACCAGTGCCAGTTCCAGTAGCATTATGTTGCCCATTTGGGTGGTGGCGATGGGTGTCCTTTTTCTGGTGCTGCTGCCCACCGAAGAGCTTTCGTTCACCATCGGTCCGTGGAAGCTGCTAATGATGTTTGTAATTTTAATGCGATTCCGGTGGTGGGTGGTGCGGCTTTCCGGCGGTTCGATCGGTGCAACACGATCCAGCGAATATGTTAATTGAATTTCGTATTTGTACGCTGAAATTGATGAATCTGTTGTTATTTATGTGGGAATAATTTTATGACGGATCGATTCGGGAGGGTGCGGTATTTACAGTGCAGTGGCTCTATTGGTTGAGGTTTTTGCACCTGCCATATGTGGAGCACCTGATGGGTTAAATGGCAATTATACCACCGACAAACCGACATGAAACTTAAACTTAACTTTCGCTCGAAAATCTGTAATGCACAGTGATCAAAACCATAGAAACTTTTCATCTAGATAAAAATAACTCATATCAACCAACTCATACATTTTGCACTCGTGTTCGTGTGTTCGACAGATGTCGGTAGTGTCCTTTGGGCAGAAATTTCGTGGTAATTTCTGTGGTCATTCATGTCGGTTTGTCGGTGATTATACGGCGCTGATTGAATACCTTTATTCCAGTTACAATCAATGTAATGGTTTTTGAATTGCCCTGGAGGATTATTATCGCATTGTGTTTTATGTTATCTACAAAATTGCAACTAGGTAGTAGGTCATTGTTTAGCATAATGCAGAATGGAATGATGCTCGAATGTAGAATGACACGAATTCGCAGATAAAAGGCACTAAATGATTCGAATCAATTATACGGTCAGTGGTGCAGCGACATTGAGGAAATTTTCAATTGAACTTCAAGTGAGTGCAAGTGGCGCACGGTTTGAGTTCAAAATTTGTTGGTCCCCACCACTGGACATTGATCTTGGAGAGTTTGATGTAGTTGAAAAACATTATTGTAAAATTTTCGTCACTGTTCTTGATTTCCGTTTGTTCTCGATCGCGCGTGATTTTTTGTTCGACGAGTTTAGCTTTTGCTCATTTTGAAACATAAATCTGAATTCCGAAAATCATGTTCCGCAAAGGTCATTTCCAGTTCAAATTAAAATAAAGCTGGTTCCATTTAAAATCATTGAGTTCGCACCATTAGGCTTATAAGACGTAGTTGAAAAATATTCAAATTAATTATCAAAAATCAAAGAAAAATATGAAGACTTTATAAATTCTGTTCGCATCTGACGTAATGACCTGACCGATATAACTAACAACGTGTAAAATATTTCCACTGATTCCCGGATTTCTGAATGATTTTTTCTTAAAATTTTATAAGAATTTCCCCGGAAGTTCTGAAATAATTCATCCGGAATTTTCTGTTCAAGTTTTCTCCTGAAATTACTAACGAATTCAAACCATTTAGCTCAGAGTAGCATTGAGTTCAAAACTTACTGTTGAGAGGAGATAGGTTAGTCATTCCAGAGCAGCTAAAGTCACGAGTATTGGAAATCGCCCACGAATCTCACCCGGGAATGATGGCTATGAAGAGAAGGCTTCGTCAAACGATGTGGTGGCCAGCAAGTTGAGTTATTCGTTAAGAAATGTAAAAACTGTACTCTAGTATCAACACTAAATCCTCCTGAGCCACTGAACCGCACCAAATTACCTGAAAAAGCTTGGGCTGATCTTGCAATTGATTTCGTCGGCCCGTTACTATCCGGTCATAGCCTGCTTGTGATTGTGGACTACTTAAGTCGTTTCACAGAAGTGATAATCATGAAGCAAACTACGACACATTTGACTATGAAGGCTCTACATAAAACGTTTTGCCGTTTCGGAATGCCTGAGTCCATAAAGACCGATAACGGTCCCAGTTCATCAGCAATGAGCTCCAAGATTTTTGGAAACAGTTTGGCATTGAACACAGGAGAACAACACCCTATTGGCCTCAGGCGAATGGGGAAGTGGAAAGAATTGACCGTTCCATGGGAAAAAGGTTGATAATCAGTCAGGAAACGCCAGGGGCAGATTGGCAATGGGATCTCAGGACATTCGTGCTCATGCACAACTCAACACCGTCTTCTACGACAGTGATCGCCCCCTCAATCTTGATGTTCGGAAGGAAGCTGAAAGACAAGTTACCTGGCTTATTGATGAAAGGATCCCTCATCTTGGAGGATATTTATGATCGCGATCATCTGCAGAAGATGAAAGGATCGGAATATGCTGATAATCGGCGCAGGGCACAGCAGAATGATATTTCGAAAGGTGATACAGTTGTTGCAAAACGCATACAAAAGGAAAATAAGCTCTCAACGACATTCGACCCTGAGGAGTATTCTGTCGTCGCTCGAAATGGCTCAGACATAACTATAAAATCAAAGGAGTGTTGAAGGATCATTCACCGCAATGTGGCTCACTTAAAAAAGCTTTTTACAGATACTAAGGATACCGGAAACAATGATGGCGCCCTGGAAACTGAGAAGGACGTCGAGGAATCGCGACAACCATATCTGAACCGTACATCAACCCATGAAAGAGAAGCAGAAATGGAAAATATCAACCAACAGAGACTCTCGAAAACTGATACAGGTGAAGATACGAAGTTCCGTCCAAGAAGAGAGATTAAGCATCCATCGTATTTCAAAGACTACAAAATTGGTAACATTTATAAGTTTTGAGAAAGAGAGGGATGTAGTATCGGTCCTGCCTTTTATAATTAACTTGGTTTGTATAAATCTTGTAATGCACATCCCTGAGTAGTTCTATACTATGACATCCCTAAGTGAGCGCTCAACTTCCGAGCTGAACAGATGTATTTTTGCTACAGTTCTGTGGAAGTCGAACACAAGCTAATTACCAGTGCCAACTGTGTTTTTTTCTCTTTCTGCGCATCGCTGAGCCGTTACGTGTCGCTGCGCGTCCAAACGACTTCGCGATGGGCCGTCGAGAAAACACATTTCGCATAGATTTTGCGAACGTGCCGAAGAAACCGGACAATGCCAAAGTTCACAAATTCTGTGCGACCGGTGCGACCATATTGGGTCTGAAGCAAGGTGAAGTGCTACGGATTCAGAACAGCAGAACCCTCGGAGTTTCTTTCGTGAAAGTCGTCGACCTAGCGTTGGCGCAACGAATCTGTGAGGAACACGACAACAAACACGAAATTACGGTCGACGGGAAAAAATATCCGTTGAAAATCACACTGGAGGAGGGAGCAGTGAAGGTGAGGCTCTACGATTTATCCGAGGACGTGTCGGATCAAAAAATCACTGATTTTCTAGGAAGATATGGTAACGTAATCGCAATACGAGAACAACGATGCGGAACCGATATCGATTTCCCTGGCATTTCGACCGGCGTTCGTATAGCAAAAATGACGGTGAAACGAAACATCGAGTCGTGGGTCACGATCGAAGGCGAAGTGACGAATGTATCGTATTTCGGGCAGCTACAAACATGCCGACACTGCCGCGAATACATGCACATCGGGGCTACTTGCGTGCAAAATAAAAAAACTGCTCGTGCAAAAATCATACGCCAAAGCCGCAAAGCAGACGCCGTCGCAAAAAACGAGTCCAGTCGACTATAGTGCGAACCAAACCAACACAAACTCAAACCAAACCGCTTCCAATGCGAACCTAACTAAAACGACCTCGAACCAAGCTTCCCGGCCTCGGTTCGAACCAATCTCGGCCAAAGCTGTTACCATGCCACCACCAAAACAAATTCCCCAGCGTCAACAACAGAAGCTGTTACCACCAGTTCTGACCGAACAGAATTTCCCCACGTTAGCCCCTACCTCGGCTTCGATTCCCCCATCGGACAGCGGGTCGTTGACTCCCTATACAAGTCAACAACCCCCCGCTAGCGGCGGAGTGGATCGCAAAACTGCTAGTGGTAAGTCCGATGGAAACGAAACAGATTCGTCTGTAGGGTCATCCAGCGCGAATCCGAAGCCTCGCGTGGATGACGACTGCGACGACAAGCGAGATGGGAGTAACCAACCGTCCTAATGGCTGAGGTCTCCAGTTACAACCTCGCCACCATCAACATCAACAATATTACGAACGCAACGAAGATTGACGCTCTTCGAACCTTTGTACGAACACTGGAACTGGATATCGTTTTCCTCCAGGAGGTGGAGAATGAGCAACTCTCTAACTGGCTTCAACGTTATCTGCAATGTGGACCAAGCAAGGCGGGGAACGACAATCGCGCTGAAAGACCACATACAATTCTCGCATGTGGAGAAGAGCCTGGATGGTCGTCTCATCGCTTTAAGGGTGCAAAACACAAAGCTCTGCAACGTATATGCGCTATCGGGGACAGTTGTTCGTGCGGAAAGAGAAAGATTTTTCAACGGCACGATCGCGTACTACCTTCGGTACAACACTCAAAACGTCATCCTGGCTGGAGATTTTAACTGCGTGCTACGTCCGAGCGACTCAACAAGTTCCAACACAAGCCCGGCTCTCCAAGCGACCGAACGGCAGCTACAGCTTCACGATCTGTGGCTGAAATTGTACCCCACAACCCCCGCACCCACGTACATCATACACAATGCGGCATCCAGGCTCGACCGCATGTATGTCAGCGCTGGGCTTTGCGAGCATCTGCGGAGTGCTGCCACGCACGTATGCTTATTCACGGATCACAAAGCGCTAAAAGCGCGCATTTGCCTTCCCCACCTTGGCCGCGAACAAGGACGCGGTTACTGGTCCCTCCGCCCTCACCTATTAACAGCCGAGAACTTAGAGGAATTCCAAGTGCGATGGCAGTTTTGGACCGGCCAACGGAGAAATTTCCCCAGCTGGATGACATGGTGGCTCTCATGCGCGAAGCCAAAAATAAAATCTTTTTTCCGATGGAAGTCAAGTGAAGTTTTCAGGACTTTCAACGCAGAACAACAACGCCTCTACGAGCAATTACGACTCGCATATGATGGCTATTACCAGAATCCCACCATGCTGGTGACCATCAACCGCGTAAAAGCACAAATGCTCACGTTGCAGCGGCAATTTGCGCAAAACTTCATCCGCATCAACGAGACGTTTATAGCCGGCGAGAGCATATCTCGATGAACATTTCAAATGGTCCTATCTGCTTTGATCGATTCTCTTCATCGACTTTCTCTTTTCATAACCACTGCTATGCAAACAGATTTCGCGCTAATTCTACCACATAGTTTGATAAAGGAGGTTCTTATCTAGCGTCCAAAACG